GCAGCCTAACCGGAAATCTTGTGCTAAGTGATTTATCACAGTCATTCTCTCACGTGACTTTATAGAACCAATGCAGGTGTGAACCAACGCAGGTGTGAACCAATGTAGGTGTGATTATCTCATGTATGGATGAGAAAACTTAGCTTCAGACAGGTTAAGTCACCTGCACAATGTCACCCAGCTAAGAAATGCCAGTCATGATTTACATTTTGGTCTATTTTACTCTAAGGCCTGCGAATCTCCCCCAGTGCCAAGAATAGGAAACAAAGCTGAGAGTTCAGGTTCCCCAGCAACAAGCCGCTAACAGAATATACGGGGTGATGAAGAAAAATAAAAACCACTCACGCAACTTCCAGGCCGTCTTGGTGACCACAGGAGTGGCCATCCTTTGGCTGGCTGGCACCTGAAGCCCTGCCCACAAAATGGACTGTGTTTTCCTTGTGGGGTGGGGGTGGATCCCCCCCAGATCCACCAATCAAGTTGGCAGGGAGTTTCCAAACATCCAGGCAGAGGGAATTCTTGTCTCCTGGTCCCGGACCGCCTCGTGGTTTTAAATCATCCACAGCAACAGCAACAGCCTGTACACATCTGTCAGGACCCAGGATCATGGAATGTCAGGCTTGAGCCATCTCAGCTCAACACTGGGCTGGAATACAAACAGAGACAATGGCTTGTTAGGAAAACTTGGTAAGAGCTGCAGCTCCCTGGATCTCCGAGGCCACTTGATAAAGACTAACACCCACCAAAGCAACCACAGCCAGAAGCCGCATCACAAATTGGCTCTGAGAATCTGCAGAGGAAGCACCTCAGGAAGCGTGACTTGAACACAGAGAAAAAGGTCCTCCCAGACGCTGGGATAATGGGAGCCGGCTGCTCCAGGATGCTGACTGCCTAAAGTGCAGCAGCTGCAGTGGGGCGGGGAAGACCACGTGTCTGCAATTCACATAGATTTCTGGGAGTCACTGTTTTTGCCTGACGTACAGGAGGCGGGGTGGAGTCAGAGCTAAGCTTGGGGGCCCACGAGAGGCAACCCAGAGACAGCCATTGAAGTCCTCTCTGGGGAGAATCTCAAAGAGGACCCTGAGGGTCCAAACCCCCAGCACCTGGCAAGGGAACCACTCCTGCCCACTGCAATTCCCTAGCACAGAGCTGGGAACTAGGCCTCCGGTCTGGGTGTGAGTGGGTATGGCTCCTCAACTCTGAAAGGCCACCTCACGCAGCCCCCCACCCCCTTCCCACGGCCACTTCACCTCTTTCCCATGAACCCTCTCTCCTCCCGTCCCCTTTCTCCTGGGTCCCCTAGTTTTGCCTCGCCAGTCCCCCATTCACACACCGCCTTTCCCAGCCCCCCCGAATCTCCCAGTCAGGCATATCCTGTTTCCTGAGCTCCCTAACCTGGCCCCTGCCTCGCCACACTCCCTTCACTCCCCTTTCCCATCTGCTACCGGTGTCCCCCATTCATTCACTCTCCCGCTTCTCCCCATTCATTACGCATCCTCCTGCAGACCCCCAGCTCTGCTTCCGGCCTCCCTGGTTTTCTCCCTCTCGCCTCCACGCCGGCCCCGCTCGTCCGGGGGTTGGGCTGGTCCCTCGGCCTCGGCTGATCCTCCCACCCCTCTCAGCTTGCGGGGCACGGGCTCTAGCCTCCCCCAGCTGGAAGCCCTCTCTCCCCGCAGCCCGGCCGGCCCCGCCTGGCTCGGCCCGGCCCAGGGCCCACAGTCCCCTCGCCTCCTCGTCCCCTTGCCCACTCCACCTGCAGCTGCGGCTCGGAAGGCCGAAGCTCTGCTCCAGGCGCGACCCCTACTTGCCTCCATCCCCTGCCCTGATTGGCCGCTGCTTGACAACCGACCCTCACAACAAACCCTCCGGCCCAGAGCCCCGCCCACCTTACCTCCTGCACCAATGCGTCGCCGCAGGCGTTCCGCCTCCCCGTCAGGATTGACCAATGGAAGCAGGCGCTTCTGCCGCTTTTCCTAAGTACCCGCCCTCTTTTCCCGAATCGGACTACTCATGAAGAAGGAGCGTTCAAGAGCCTCCCCTCAGCCTCTAATGAACCAATGCGGGCTGCCATTTCCTTGCTCCCGCCTCTGTCTCAAGCTTTCCCTCTACTCCCCCTTTCCTTCTCTTCCTTGAACCTAGTTTGCGTTTGAAAAATTTGCGAGACGCCCTCCAATGGCGGCTGCACCAATTGCTTTAGTAACCGTCCTGGATCGACCAATCAGCGTCCGCATTATTGGACAAACCAATTCCCAGATAGCCAATGGGAAAGGGCCTATGGGAGCCGTGTGAAGTCGTGGCCCTTCCATCTTGGAGTGGGGCGAAGCGGAGTGAGGCCTTAGTCAGCATTTTGGCGAAGTTGTCTTCTCCTTGCCTGCAGACCGCGGCCGTGGCCTGAGTACTTTGCTTGCCCCTCATCGATGACTCTGATGCCGGCCTGAATCCTCCACCACGGAAAGCCTAGAGGGAAACAACCTGATTCCGGGTCCGAGTCAGGCGTGCTGCCCCGCCGCCGCGCCCTCGGCCAATGGATGAATGGGCAAGTGGCCGCTCCCGTAAGGGGACCACAGTCTAGGAAGTCGAGAGAGGCAGACTTTGTGAAACCTTGGGAGGGCTAGGCCCCGGGAACGGCAGTAACCAGCCACGAGTCAGGGCCCCTCGCGTGGCCCCGCTGCCCGGGGGCCGCTTAGGAGGAACTCGGCCCCACGGAAGCCCCTCCCCGGGCCAGGCCCTGTCGGCCGAGAGGTGGTCCGAGCATCTAAAGACCCTTGAACTTTCCCGTTTATCCTCCAGTGTCTCAGTGCAGGTCGGGGCTGCTTGGGCTGACACAGCACTCACCACGACCCTAAGGGGTAGGAATTCTTGCTCCCGTTTATAGATGAGGAAACTGAGGCCCGGGTTTAGGTGCTGTTAGAAGACCACACAGCCAAGGAGTAATGGCCCCAGGATTCGAACACTTGTCCCTAAAGCCAAAGCCTGGGGATTCCCCACTGTATGTACCCCCCCCTTCTGCCTTCGGTAAGAGGCAGAGGGTCCACCCGTGCCGTGATACTTTTGGGAAGTAGTCCCAGGCATTGGAACATTCTTAAAAGAAGATTAGAGTAACAGAGTAACACTGGATCTAAATTCTCCAGCCTGCATTTCCTTGTATTATGAAAAACTTGATAGTATAATGATACAGCCTAGATTTTGATACTTGCTAACAAGTTTACCACATTTGCTTTGTGTTTTTTTTTTTCAGAACCATTTGAAAATTGTAGATATCATAACGTTTCACCTGACACTAAATACTAAGCAGATAGCTCTTAAAAATAAGGCCCTTATTCTGCATAATCATTGTGTCACCACCCCTAAGAAAACTTAATAACTCTCTAACACCCAGTCCGTATTCGCATGTGCCCAATCATCCCAACAATATCTTTAATAACTTTTTTTTTTCTAAGTAGGAACAAATCAAGATTCAGCACACTTGGCTCTTTTAACGTCATTCTGTTTCTGTCCCCCAACGTTTATTTATTTTTATAACATTGATCTTTTGGAGAGATCAGACCGTTTACCTTATAGATGTCCCTCATGAATTCGTTTTCTTCTAGCGTCATTTACCTTGTTCCTCTTCCCCTGAGTTTCATGTTAAATGGAAGTTAGGTCTAAAGGCTTGATTAGATTCATGACAAGCATTTAAAAACACTCCAAAGGACACATACTGTACGTGTACAGGTTGATGAATTTTTACAAACTGAACATACCTGGGTCAAAAAGCAGAACGTCACCAGCAACCAGAAGCCCCCAGTACTCACTGCCATTCACTAACCCTCACACTCCATGAGTGACCACCATCCTGACTTCTAATACCATTGATTAATTTTCCTGTTTCTGTTCTTTATGTAAATGGAATCTTACACTATGTACCTTTTGGTATCTGGAATCTTTTGACAACTGATTATACTTGATTATACTTAAGAAATTAAACCATGTCATTCCATGTAGTTGAAGTTCATTCATTTTCATTTTTCTGTAACAACCTCAATATTATTGACATTTTGGGCTAGATAATTCTTCGTTGTGGGGGCTGTCTTGTGCATGATGGGATGTTTAGCAGCATCCCTGGCCTCTATATACACTAGATGCCAGGAGCATTCTCCCTCACCAGTTACGACAACCAAAAATATCTCAGGACCACAATTTATGCATCCATTCCACTCTCGATGGGCACTTGGGTGGTTTCCAGTTTGGCGTTATCAGTTGTGCTGCTATGAACATTCTAGTGCATGCCTTTTGGGGGATAGCTGTCTATGTATCTCCATTTCTGTTGAGCTGTTCATTCTTCTTGGATGGATGGATGTATGGAGTAGAACCTAGGAGTGGAATTGGTAGGCCATAGTTTAGCGTTAGTAGATGCTGCCAAACAGTTTTCCAAAATGGTTATACGTTTTTACACTTTCACCAGGAAAGATACTCGAGAATTCCAGTTGCTTCTCATCACTAACATTTATTTTATCCATACTGGGGGGTGTGTGGTGGCATTTCATTTCCCTGATGAACGAATTTGACAATTTTATGGGTCTATTGGCTATTTTTTAAGCTAACATTTAGTGAGTGCTTTCTACATACCACTCCCAGCCTCTCTGCTTTATAAGTCTTATTTAATACGACAATGCCATCCCCATTTCACAGATGGGTAAGTGGTATCTGGTAAGAAGAGGAGCTGGGATTCAGCCCCTTGCACTCTAATGTCAAGCCCTCAAGCTCTGGGTCATGCACCGTGGCCTTGCCCCTCCCACTGTGTGAGCTGAGCCACCCTAGCCACGCTGAGATCTTGTTTGCAGGTGGCTGTCGGACCATATGCAGAGGTGCTATGAAGACTCCACCTTCCAGTGGACAGAGGACAGGAAGCAAATTAAGAAGGTGGCCAAGGTGGGGAGGAAAGGGGTGGTCCCAGGCAGGAGATAAAGAAAGGAAGGAGAAAAAGGCTGGTGCTGGAGATTGTGAATCACAGGCGAAAATGGCAAATTCTGAGTGTGTTTATTTACAGGAAAGTCAGGAGAAGCAGGAACAGGGAGGGCTGCAGGGGAGGTGGGTGGCAGTGAGGCCAGGCGTCTGAGTAGATGGCATTAGCTGGGTGGGGGGAGCACAGGGGCCCGACTGTGGGAGGGAGATTTGCTTTCCCTGGTGGCTCTGCCGAGGCCCCAGGAGGAGTGTCAAGCAAAGACTTTCAGGAGCTCCACCAGGCGTGGGTCCTTGTAGAGCTTTTTCTCCAAGGCCAAGTACTTCAGCGGGGCCAGCTCCTTGTGTCTGAAGTCAGAGGGAGGAACGAGAGGGGGTGAGGGCGTTACACAGCCAGCGGTCCGGCCTCCAGTGGGCCCTCCCCAGCCCCGGCCCCATACCGATTGAGCCGCTGCTCCAGGATGCGGATGCGGAACACGGCCTGAGAGCAGTAGCTCAGGTACAGGTCTTCGTCCTCGGGCGTCAGGGTCACCTGGTTCTCCTGGTACCACTGCTGCTTCTTCTGCAGCTCCTGGGTCTCCTGTGGGCACAGGGAGGACAGAGCAGGAGGGTTGGCAAGGACCGACCCTCACCCAGGCTGCAGTTCCACTGGCCACCAAACGGCCCCATGATGGTTGGCCCTCCCTACCCCCACCCACGCACGCCAGAGGAGCAGAGTCAGGGGCCACCAAATGTCTTGGGCAGGAGCCACTGTGGTGTGTTTAGAAGAATATAATGTCCATGAGGTCAGAACAGGGGTCAAGAAAGACAGCCATGTAGCTCTGGGGAGTTACTGACATTTTTAGAACCTCCAATTTCTTGTCTGCAAAATGAGGGTCATTGTACTGCCCCTACGTCTTGTAGAGCTCTTTGTGAAGATTAAACCAGATAATGCATGGGAACTACATGTGTGCCTGACCAACAGAAATGGGTCCGGGACCAAGAGTTGTTACAATGCACCATACGTCCGTCCGTCCATCTACCCACCCACTCACCAACCCGCCCATCCTTCTACCCATCTGTCCCTCTGCCTACCCTACCACCTATCCCTCCATCTGCCCACCCATCCATCCAATAAGCAAGAGTGAGGAAGAACAACTCAGTCATCGGGAAGCCCCAAGCACGGACATACTCGTGCCCTGACCAGTCCCTCGCAAGTCTGAGAGGTGGTGCACAGGCAGCCCTGGGCCCACTTTCTGGAGGGGGCTGCTGAGGTCCCCGCCCCTGCCAGGGCCCTGGCCGCACCTTCTCGAAGCGGGCCTGGATGAGGTTGGCCTTGTCGATGAGCCGCTGCTTGAAGTCACTGAGGCACTCGTCCTTGAGGCACACCGCCTGCCAGTGAGTCAGCTTCTCTCCTGGCGGCAGCTGGGCCAGGAATGGGGCCAGGTAGTCCAGCTGGGCCTCCACCTGCTGCAATTGCTCCTCGTGCATCACGCGCTCCTGCGGAGGTGGGGGCAGTCAGCTGGATCGGCTGGCGCTGCAGAGACCTCCCGACTGGCTCTGTGGCAGCACGGTGCCAGCACCAAACCGGGCCTCAAAGGCAAGTCCCGGCGCGTGGCGCCTGAGACGGGCCTCGGCGGGGCCTGCGTGCTGATCTCTTGTACCCATGTTTATCGGTGACAGCCAACTCTCGTTTCTTACACGAATTCACATCTGTCTACTTGAGCCTCATTTTCCTTCTCAGACGAGATCACGTCTGTGAAGCACACAGCCTGCCTGACAGTCCATAGTAGGTGCTTATCTAATAAATGGTAGTGGTTATTAATGATGTTAGTTAAAAAGTTCTCTCTCACCTTGGGGCCTGGTGTCCTACATCAGCAGACAGGGGCCAGAGATGTGGAGGCCAACACCCTCCCGGGGGGATCTGAGAACAGTCACCCGATGCCCTGTCCTGCCTGACCAACCCCAAACTATTTTTAGACATCTCTACTAGCTTGGTGAGGGGGATTCAGAAGCTGGCCTTGAAACCAAGCTGGGCTCTGCAGCCCGAGGGTGTAACCTGAAAGCCTTGGGCTGCAGGGGTCAGAGGGCTCAGGCTCTGGTCAGGGTTGGCTTGCTGGGGCTACTGGCCCGGGCCACAACCTCAGTGGGAGCCCTGGGTAGAGGTAGGCACACAGTTTTAATTCTTTTCCCATACACCCCAGGTCTTGGCTTGGCCACAGCCCCTGGGGGTTGGGGGAGGCCTGGCCTGGATCCCAAGTACTCTTCGGGGTGAACCACAGACATGGGCAGCTCGGCAGCAAGGAGGACCACACAGTATCATCAGCTTCGCCCCCTACAGGGGGCTTCTCCGCAGAATCCCTGATGGCCTCACCACCCCGGCGGCCGGGAGGTCCGGGCAAGGGAGCCAGCTCACCATGGTCTCCCGGTACTCCTTGCTCTTCTCGTTGCGCCTGGTGTCGTAGATGGAGACGGTCAGCGTGTGCGCCTCCTCCTCTTCCTCTCGCAGCTTCAGGATCTCCAGCACCTGAATTGGGAAGTGATGAGGGGCAGGATGAAGGCAACCCCACCCCGCCCCCACCACCCGCCCACTCTCCCATAGGACCCTACCTCCAGCTCCGACTCCCAGGCCAGATGTCTGGACACCTTCTCCTCATTCTTCAGGTGCATCATGTCCTGGTACTGGTAGAGCAGCTTCTTGGTGTGCTCCATGGGCTCCACCTGGGCAACAACCACCACAGTGACACACAGAGGCTGCGATGGTCAGGGTCGTGGGACCACCCGGGCTCAAATCTACTCCTGCTGTGTGACCTTAAGCAAGTTGCTTAACCTCTCTGGGCCTCAACTTCCTCACCTATAAAAGTACAGTTAATAATAGAAGAGGAACCGAAGACTCAGAGAGGCTAAGGGATGTGCCAGGACAGTGAGGATGTGACCAGGAAGGCCAGCCCCTCAGGGGTGGTGAGAACCTTCTCCTCCTACAGCACCGTTCCCTAGGATGGGGGGTCTGCTCTGACCCGGGGTTGGGGTGGGGAATGGGAACCGTGAGCAGTAGTCACGGCCTGCTGGGTTCTCTTGGTGGAAAAGGAAAGATTTTCAGAAGAGGTACAAAGAGATGGGTCCCCAGACGGGAGCTTTAGATTCTCCCAAGGGGCAGAGATGAAGTCCCGGCTGGGATTCAACAGTGTCCGTCCCAGTCCTCCCAAGTTGCTGGAGCGGGTCAGAGGGCCCCAGTTCCTTCTCCTCACCCCGCCCCCGCCCACCTCGAAGCTGATGCACATGTCCGGCGTCATGATGATCTTGTTGCCTTTGCTATCCACCTCGGTGCGCCGCAGGTACTCGCGCTTGGAGGCCGTGATGTGGTCATCGCGGCAGTGGTAGCGCAGCTGGATGCGCTCCTCCCCGATCAGAAACACGCGCTCGGCTACATCCTCGTCCGCGGGCTTCGCGGAGTTGCGGAGAAACCGCTCTGTGATTTTCTGTGAGGCCGGAACATACGTAGGATGAGAGGCAGTGGGAGGAGCTTTCTGCGCCTGCCCAGTGGGCAGGATGCTAGAGTCTGGGCTCAGTTGGAGATTCATGTGGCAGCCTCTCTTAGCCAGACTACGGAACCCCATGGGTTCTCAGGGCCAGGCCACTCCAGGCTTTTATTGTGCTGGACTTCTCTAGTACCCTCAACAAGACTCTGCTTGCCTACCCCAAGAGATGGGAAGCTCACCACCTACCCAGGCAGCCAACCCCATCACTAGATATCTCTTAGGAAGAGCTTCTTTGCCATGCGGCCATTAAGCTCAACTGCCAAATAATTTGTAATGACGTGGAGGGGGAAAAAAGCACGATTTAATGTTAAATGGGTGATACAGGGATTCTCGCCTCCCTCCCAACTCTCCCTCCCAAACTATTAATCCCTGGTAATATCTAAGAGTTGCCATTCTGAGATATTTCTGCTTTTCTCTTTATATTTTTCCACATTTTCCAAACGTTTAGTCACAAGTGTGTACTTTTTATAACAATAAGGAGATAATACCTCCTCGGCCCGGTGGTTAAGGGCAGTCTGGCCCAGGCAGCCCAGGACCGTGCATTTGGTGAAATGCTTGGCTCACAGTTCCTGCCCTGGATGCCTTGATGCCACCCCAGAGCCAGGGGTATCCCTGTCCAGAGGTGACATCAGCTGCCAGAAAAGACGGGCAACCTGTCCCCAGGCACAGCGAGCTCTTACCACGATGGGCCGGGGATTTGACTCTGCGCTCTTCAGAGCAAGCTTCTTGACTCGGGGCCCGAAGGTGATGTGGCGGTAGGAGAGGAAGTCTGGGCGTCCTTGATAGTGCTCTGTCATTGTCGTGGCTGTCTCCTCCCGCTTCATCAGGCCATCCACACGGGTCGTTTCGTAAAACTCCATGACGCGGTCCATCTCAGGTTGCATGGACTTGTATGAGTGCACTGGGGTGGGAGGAAGGAGGTGGGAGGCAGGGGGAGATGGCTGGGGGCTGCTCAGAGCTGTGGCTGCTCATTTGACAACCCAACCCCAGGCCCAGGGAGAAGGCAGGTCCACATACCAATGAACATTCGTTGTGTGACCAGTCCCCTATTGCTGGGTGTTTAGGTTGTATCCAACTTTTTGTTATTATAAACAACACCATGATGAACATCTGCATTGTGCATTTTTTGTTTTTGCCCATTATTTGCTAAGAAAAAATTCTCAGCAGAACTGCTTCGAAAAGTATACACATTTTAAGGCTATCATTGATATGTTTTGCCCAACTGCCCTCCAGAAAAGTTGTGCCAATTTGCTACCAACAGTGACAGGGAGTGATTACTGCTTCCCACACTTGCTCACACCTAGTAGGATCTTTTTTTATTTCCATCTTTACAACACGAGGGTTATAAGATGGTCCCTTAGAGGTTTAGTTTCATTTTTTAATTTCAACTACAAAATGAGGTTGATCATCTTTTCAAATGTAGCCTTAAACTGCAGGGCTCAAGAGAGACTCTCACAGGCCAGGCGCGGTGGCTCACGCCTGTAATCCTAGCACTCCGAGGTGGGCGGATTGTTTGAGCTCAGGAGTTCGAGACCAGCCTGAGCAAGAGCGAGACCCTGTCTCTACTAAAAATAGAAAGAAATTAATTGGACAACAAATATATAGAAAAAATTAGCCGGGCATGGTGGCGTATGCCTGTAGTCCCAGCTACTCGGGAGGCTGAGGCAGGAGGATCGCTTGAGCCCAGGAGTTTGAGGTTGCTGTGAGCTAGGCTGACGCCACGGCACTCTAGCCCAGGCAACACAGTGAGACTCTGTCTCAAAAAAAAAAAACAAAACAAGAGAGTCTCTCACCTCAGCTTCCCTAGTAACTGGGACTACAGGCATGCGCCACCACCTCTGGCTAATTTTTTAAATTTTTTGTAGAGATGCGGGTCTTGCTATGTTGCCCAGGCTGGTCTTGAACTCCTGGCCTCAAGCAAGCGATCCTCCCACCTTGGCCTCCCAAAGCTGGGATTGCAAGCATGAGCTACCTCGCCTGGCCCCTTTTGTGAATTCTTGGTTAGGGTTGTTGATTCTCTCCCAAGACACGTCCTTCCCTCCATCCCCAACCTCCTGGGCTCAAGGCCATGTCTGACTCTCTGCCCTCTGCCGTTGTGGGCATGTCTGTTGGCTCTATTGCTCAGTATCTTCTAAATGTGGCCCCCACTGGGTACCCTCTTGATGGGATTCCTAGCTGATCCTAACCACAGAATGAGCATGTGGCCCCAGCTCTGGCTGTCCTGGAGGAATGTTTGTCACATTTCCTTGGACTTTCTGAGCTTCTCAGAAAGTCTAACCTCCCACGTGCTGGTTTGCTTAGGGAGGCAGAGGCAGCTGCTGTTGCTTGCCACCAAGAACCCCCCTGCTGCCTCCTCCCGCCACACACCACCTGCCCTGGAGGCTGCTCTGAAGAGCGTGTGAGGCCCCCGCTCAGGCTCCTGGCCGGCCCAGCAACAGGTCCACGCACCACGCAGAGCTTGGGGGTGGCCTGGCTTGAAGTAGTCGATGTTCAGGCCTGTGGTCTTGTTTATGTGTTTCAGCTCCAGCCTGTCTTCCCGGTTCTGGTACCACTCCTTCACCTCCAAGGTCTCGGTCCCTGTGGGCCGAAGGATGCTTGGCGCAGCCAGGCCAGCGCCCGGCCTGCAACCTCCGTGCCAGGCACGCAGAGGCAGCAACGCCCCAGGCACGCGAGGAGAGGAGACACCACCCCCGGCCCCAGCCCGGCCTGGACCCATAGCCGGCGCCGTCTCCCTTACACTCCAGGTCCTCGTAGGTGGTGAGGCGGCACACCAGGCCGTTGCTGTTGAGGTACGGGGCCCACTTCTCCAGCTTCGCCCTCTTGTACTGTATCACCTTCTTCCCATTCGGGCAGCGGGTCTCGAACGCTGTGGACACAGAGGGGGCTGGGGCCTCCCAGACTGGGAGAAGGGAGGGCCGACCCCGCCCGGCCATTCATCTGTCCACCGCCCACTTCCCCGTCTGCTAAACTCCTCCTCCACGCCAGGGAGGCAGAGGACAGTCACTGGGGAGGCTCCAGCGCTGGGGCGGTTCTCGGGCAACACCGAAGCACGGGCTGCCCAAGAACAGGATCGAGCCCAGCCAGAGGATCTGCACCCCAGCCGCGCCACGCTGTCACCTGCCTTTGCCTGTGCAGGTCCCTCGGCAGAAACACTACCCCCTGCTGCCCTTGCTGGGCTGACACCTTCTGATCCTTTGAAACTTAGTTCCAGTGACCCCTCCTTCTGGAACCCCTTTCTGCCCAGCCACCTCCCAGTGCCTAGCCCTGGAGCTGGGCTGCATGCTCCCCCTCTGGGTTTGCATGACACCCTCTCTAGCATGTCCCCCCCTGGTGAAATGGCCTGTGCCCTCCCTATGGGTCTGGGTGCTCCCAGATGGGCACCCCAGCAGCCAGCAGATGTTGACATGGGGCATGAAGGTCCCCGCCTCCTGCCTTCTCCACCTGCCCCTCCCCAGTGCTGACACCCCCTGCACCAGCTGGGGTATGCGACAGGAGAAAGGGCTGCGTCTCAGACAGTGAAAGCCAGAAGGATGGAAATGAAGGCCAGGGCAGCCTCTGCCATGTCCCCCGTGCCACTAGCTGTCACTGCAGAGCTCCTCGGAGGCCCAGGAACTGGTTCTGGAGAGGACAGTGAACACACAAATAGCAAATACCTTCTGGGGAGATCTCGATCTGCTCCACCCACGAGTGTGGCACGTCGAAGCTCTTGTCCTCATCCTCCTTGCCCTGTTGGGAGCGGAGGAGGTGGGGTGGGGGGTTGTGGGTCAGGGCTTTGCAGCGGAAGTTACGGTCAAAGCTTCTGTCTCACCCCCCAGAGCCGAGCCAAGGTGGTCCATCAGCTTTTCCAGAGAAGCCGGAGGTCATGAGTGTGGCCCATGATGGGGAAGAGGAGTCAGCTCTGGGCAGAGAGCCCTTCTCTGCATCCTCCCGGCTCAGGATGGAGACACCCGCTGTCCTGCATACCCTGCTGTCCCTGAGCCGGCCACAGGCCCCATGCCAGAGTCAGGTGTGCCCAAGCCCCACCCTCTGCCCAACACCAGCTACGGGGTCCTGGGAAAGTCCTTTAACCCCTCTGAGCCTCAGTTTCCTTAACCGTAGACTAGACCTCTTGGGAGGAGTAAATGACATACTATATAGAAAGGGCTTGGGACACTGCCTGGCTGACGTAGTTATTATTTTTTGTCTCTGAGCCTTAGCTTCCCACCTGTAGAATAAGGCCCGACCTAAACAAACGGTGATCACAGAAACCTGGATGAGACTTTCTCAACTTAAAACTTTTCTCCCACAAACATTGCTCAGACCTCTGACAACTGCTCATCTAATCGTGACTTCTTGCAGGGGACACAAATGGGTGAGCATTGTCAAAAATCTCTAAGATGGCCAGGCGGGTGGGCTGCGGCCAGAGGCTGGGGACCCACCACTGAGCTCTGAGTCTTAGGGTCACCATCTGTCCATCTTTGCTGTAAGAGGGGTTCCCGGTCCAGGGATGGAACAGGAGTCTGTGACTGGAACTGTTTGACAATGAACTGGCTGAGGTGATAAGGTTGCTGTCCCCAGGGCTGGGCTCCCTGGGTGCTGGCCGGTCCCTGCCTCGAGGCCAGCAGGGGGCGCCTATGCCTAGATTTACCGCACAGGGGAGGCCCCCGGGCTCCAGAGATGAGGGCGCTGAGAACCCGCAACACCCTTTCCGGGCACATCTGCGGGGCTGGGCCAAGCACATCACATGGGTGGTCTCATTTTGCTGATATAGAACAGAGTCGCCGCTGAGCACCCAGACTCTGAAGCCAGACTGTTTAGGTTCAAATCCCAGCTCTGTCACTTACTGGCTATGTCACTTTGGGTGAGTTACTCAACCCCACTGTGTGTAAGTCTTCCCACCTGTAAAACGGGATGTTGACCATCATGGCTGATACGATGAGTGCCCACCTCCCCGGGGGGTTGTGGAGATGCCAACGAGTCGATTCAGGTTAAGTGTGTCCAGCAGAGCCCAGTGGTTATTAAGGGCCACGTGTGCGCTACCTACTGCTATGGGCTGGGTTGTGTCCCCCGAAATCCTATGTTGAAGTCCTAACCTCTAGTACTTCCAGATATGACTTTATCTGGAGACAGGGAGACACCGCTTTAAAGAGGTGATTAAGTTAAAATGGGGCCATATGGGTGGGCCCTAATTCAGTGTGACTGGTGTCCTTATAAGAAGAGGAAATTAGGACACAGACTCATATGCAGGGAGGACCATGTGAGGACGGGGAGGAGACGGCCGTCTGCAAGCCGAGGAGAGAGGCCTTGGAAGAAACCAACCCTGCCGACACCTTGATCTTGGACTTCTAGCCTCCAGGACTGTTAGAAAATAAATGTCTCTTGTTTAAGCCCCTCGTCTGTGGTCCTTTGTTAGGGCGCTAATATGCCCGTTGGGATTACTATGAATACAACTGTGACCCCGCCTCGTGCCCCCCACTTTACATGTAGGCCAGGAAACTGAAGCCCCCAAAGATGAGCAAGTTGCCCAAGGTCACACTGTCAGTAGCCACGGCCCCTGGGCCGCCCCACGCACAGGGCCTCACGCAGACTCGCCTGGAAGGGAGGCTGATGACTTGGGGAAATGACCCCAGGCCAGTGACCTTTAGAGGATCTGGCAGGACAGACAAGCAAGGCTTGGCAGCACACGGAGTTCACGGTGGCTACTCAGGGTGGAGCTGAAGAACGGCCACTCGGGGCTCCCAGGGGCTGGCAGAGAGGGTCTCCTGACCCCACTCCAAGGGGCATACTTTCTAAAGGAGCAGGGCAACTGCTGAACAGGAGACCTGAATTCAAGTCGCACCCTCCCCCTAACCCACTGTGAGGTCCTGGGCAGGTCACTGGACCTGTCTAGGCCTCAGTTTGCCCATCTGTAAAATGGGGGCCTTGTCCAGGCCCTTCTGCTTTGAGGAATCTATAATTGTTTTACCTGGATATCTCCACCCCTCTGACATACATGCTGGTGGGGACATTTGTCAGGCTGCCTGAGGCCACACAGGGTACAAGGCCTTCCCCACACACTCCCTGGCCCCACGCGCCACTGTGACTCACCAGATTTTCCACGTCATCCTCATCGTTCATCCCGTTGTCATCTTCCTCGGTCAAGGACAGTTTAGGCTTATCAGTCCCCAAGAGCATGAACTCCCACCTCACGGGGTCGCCCAGGTCAAAGACCAAGTCCTGGTGGGGGAGGGGTAATCAGCCGGGCGCACCCACGACCACCACATCCCCACCTGCTCGGTGGGTAGAGAAGGGACCTGGGCCTGGGTCTCAGAGGGGCGGAATGTCTGAGAGTCCATGCCCCCCCTCCTCATCTCAACAGGGCAGAGAGGGTCATGGCATGACCCTCTTGTGCTTTCACCCCTGCCAGGGAGGAGGGGAAGCTGGGAATTTCCCCCTGTGGTGGGGTCCTTTGCCTTCTTTTCACCGGGCCCAGCTGAGGCCTAGGTTTCCTCAGTAAAAGTGGCTCACTGACCACCATGGTGGTTACGAGCCTGGGCTCTGGGGGAGGGCAGGCTCAGCTCTGCCCCGTGTGAGAGAGAGAGAGACTGACATTATTTCACTTCTCTGGGGCCTCAGTTTCCTCATCTGTAACATAAGAGTAAACAATAGCTGACCTTGTTTAACAGCCAGGGAATATTCTAAGCACATGCTGAGTTATTTCCCACACTCCTGGGAGTCAGTGAGTCTGTTAAAGTGAAAACACCAGGTCTGTGCCCCACCTCCGACCACCCTGTCCCCCTTTTCTTGTGGGATGCCATGTTCAGAGGGGCTCTGTCCTCTCCTGAAGGAATCAGAGTCTCAGAAGGCAAAAGAGAAAACAGTCATTGTTTGCAGATGATACGATCATCCACTTACAAAATCCATCAGCATCAATGGACAAGCTATTGATTTAAGAATGTTTGCTCCATACAAGATCAATAAAAAATCAATAATATGTATCTATATCAGCAACAACCAATTAGAAAATATAATGAAGAATAATCCAATACCAATCACAACAGCAACAATATCTATAAACTATCCAGGAACTAACCAAAAACACACAAACCACGTGAATGCTATTAGACGAAATTGCAAAAATACAAAGTATAAAAGTTCAATGCATTTGATTATATCAGAATTAAAGACACGTTCAATAAATAAAACCAGGGACAAAGTTAACAGATAAATGGCGGAATGGTATTTGTAACGTGTAAAAGTAGTATATGATTTATATCTAGAATATACAAGGAACTCCTGCAAATCAGTAGGAAAGAAAAACAGCAAAAAAAATGGGCCAAGAATAAATGGAAACAGTTTACAGAAGAGGAAACCCTAAAGATTCAAAAGCACATAAGAGATACTCAAACTTTTGGTCGACAGAGAAATGCAAAGGAATCCAAGCATCCCTTTATCCCCATTTCTGGCAGGAATAGAAACACGGGTGTTGCCAAATGTTGAAGGACGAGGGACTGTAGGATCTACGACCACTGTCGGTGGGAATATAGACCAGTGCGGCCATTCGGGGAGTCACTTTATAGTTCTTAGTTAAATTATGTATTCTTTAAAATAAGAACACCAGGACCCAGCAATTTCAATCCTGGGTGGATACGCAGAGGGCACGTCCGTCACTGGGAACCAGATATGCAAGGTGTGGCGGACCCTGGAGTGTCACAGGCAGTTATGAGCAATAGATCAGAACTTACGAACATGACGCTGAGTGGAAAACAGAAAACACAAGAAACAGAGACTTTCTTTTCTGGTCAAGGTGAACCAGGTGATTTGGGCCAGCCTTGCTACTGACAACAGCTAGAGCTCAGAAAAATATTTTTTAAATGATCTGTTGAAAGCTAAGGAGCTTATAAGGCAGCAAAGAATTATGAAGCCAAGATCCATGAGAAGAAGGAAACCCCGAGAGGCAGGCCCGGCACTTGGGACTGCTTTTCTTCCAGGGCTGGTGTTCCAAACAAGGCAGCTGAGAGGCTGAGAAGCGCTTTTGAAAGATTCACAGCAGTAGGGTAGCAAAAATTGGAATTCAGAGTCTTCCAAAGGGAAATAAGGTGGTAAATCCCCCAGACTTCGTGTTGGGACTCTGAAGAATAACACCGAAGGAGGAAGAGTGAGCCACAAAAGCCCAGACCTTGCAGGGACTGACGCCCAGCTTAGAATCATCTCTGCTTTGTTGAAAGTGATCCAGAATTGCTAGAACCCCTAGCTTCCTGCCAGAACCAGACCCAAATCATATCTGGAGGAAGTAACACCATCTAGGTATCCAGTTATTTCTAAAATTTTTTATATTCAGTGTTTAGCATGCACACACACACACACAAATCAGGAACATGAGGAGACGAGACCATATGGCTATAAAACTAGAGACAACAGATAATAAAAAGAAAATAGATCCACAGAGGATCAAGGTAATGGAGTTATCAAAAATGAAGAGTGAAACAGCTATGATTAATACTCAAGGAAATGAAAATCAGGTTACGATTTTGGCATAGAACTGAAAGCTATGTAAAAAAAGAACCAAATGGAAATTCCAGAATTTAATTGCCAAAAAAAGGAAAGAAAGAAAGATCTCGATGGATGGATTAAACAGCAAATTAGATACATCTGGAGAAAGAGTTAGTGGCCTGGAAGATGGTTCAGGAGAAGATATCCAGGAAGAGAGAGAAGAAAAGGACATAAGAAACATAGCAAATATTGTGAAAAGGTCTCACACAGAAGTCCTAAAAAGAAAAAAAAGAAATATGGCGTAAAAGCATTGCTTATGATGGTAAAATTTCTAAAACTGAGGAAGGAAATAACCAGATGATAGACATAAACTTAACCTTATCAATAATCACACTAAATGTAAGTGGTCTAAACACCCCAAATATGAGGCAGAGAATGTCAGATTGGATAAAAAGCAAGACCCAATTATATACTGCTTACAAGAAATGCATTTAAATTTAAAAGGCACAAATAGAGTAAAAGAAAAATAAAGGAGAAGTATAACTCATGCTAACACAAATCAAAAGAAAAGTAGAGTGGCTATATTAATATCAAACAAAACAGGTATCAGAACAAACAATAGGCATAAAGATGATCATTTCATAATGATAAAGGGATCAATTTATCAAGAGAACATAACAATCTTAAATATTTATTTACCTAACAACAGAGTTTCAATACACTGATAGAACTGAAAGAAGACACAGAGAAATCTGAAATTATAGTCCAAGATTTAATAAAGTTGTCAATAATTGAAAGAAAAGTAAACTGAAAATCAGCAAAGACTTGATCAACACTATCAATCGACTCACAAGGATTGACATTTATAGAACATTCCACCCCACAGCAGGACATACATTCTAGTCAAGTGTACACAGAAAATTTACCAAGATAGACCATATTCTGGACCCTAAAACTAACTATAACAAGTGTAAAGTAATAGAAATTATACAAACTTATATTCTCTAACCACTGAAGAATTGAATTAGAAATCAACAATAGAAATATCTCTCAAAAATTTCTAAATATCTGTAAACTAAACAACACGTGTTTAAGTGACCCATGGGTCAAAGGAGAAATTAAAAGGAAAATTATAAAGCATTTTGAATTAAAAGAAAATGAAAAAACAATGTAGTAAAATGTATGAGATGCCACTAAAGCAGCACGTTAGGAGGGAATAAGGGCTTTTGTTAGATAAAAACACTGTCAGATGAATTACCCCACCTTCCATGTTAAGAAACTAGAAAATTAAGAGTAAATGAAACTCAAAACAAGCATAAGATAGAAAATAATAAAGATCAGAGTAGAAATCAATGAAATAGAAAACAAAAACAATAGAGAAAATCAATAACACCAAAAGCTGATTTATTGACAAGACCAATAAAATTGATAAACCTCTAAATGGACTGATCAGGAGAAAAAGAGAGAATGCACAATTACCAATATCAAGAATGAACAAGGTAACATCACTATGGATCCTAAACTAGAAGGAAAATGAGCTGTTTTGAACATTTTCATGGCAATAAATTTGAAACCTTAAATGAAATGAACAAATTTTTTGAAAGTCACAAACACCAAAGCTCACTCAAAAGAAATAACCTGAATAGCCGATTTCTATTAAAGAAATTGAATTTGGAGTTTAACACCTGTCCACAAAGAAAATTCCACTCCAAGATGGCTTCACTTACGGATTTAAGCAACATTTAAAAAGAAATAATACCAATTCTACAATAACTCATCTAGAAAATGGAAGAAAAAGTAATACTTCTCAACCCATTCCTTGAGGCCAGCATTACCGTGATACCAAAACAAAGATATTATAAGAAAACTACAGACCAATATCCTTCTTGAACAAAGATGCAAAAATTCTAAACAAAATTTTTATCAAATCAAAACCAGCAATCTGTAAAAGATTAAACCATCATAGGCAAGACATGGTGGCTCACACCTGTAATCCCAGCACTTTGGGAGGCCGAGTTGGGAGGATCGCTTGAGGCAGGAATTTGTGTCCAGCCTGGGCAACACAGCAAGACAAAAAAAAAAAAAAAATTAAACCATCACAATGATGTGAGGTTTATCCCAGGAATGCATGGTTGGTCTAATATTCAAAAATCAATCAAAGGCCAGGCGTGGTAACTCACACCTGTAATCCTAGCACTCTGGGGGGCTGAGGTGGGAGGATTGCTTGAACTAAGGAGTTGAAACCAGCCTGAGCAACACAGTGAGACCCTGTCTCTACAAAAAAATAGAAAAATCAGCCTGGCATGGTGGTGTGCGCCTATAATCCCAGCTACTCAGGAGGCTGAGGCAGGAGGATCACTTGAGCTCAGGATTTAGAGGTTGCAGTGAGCTATGATGATGCCACTGCACTCTAGCAGGAATGACAGAGTGAGACTCTGTCTCAAAAAAAAAAAAAAATATCCAGGTCATGTAACTTACAATATAATAATCTCAATAGACTCAATTAACAAAAATCCAATATCTATTTCTGAAAAAATTCTCAGCAAACTTAGAATAGAAGAAAGCTTCCTCTGTTTGGTAAAGGGTAGCAACAAAAAAGTCTGTGGCTAACATATTCAATGGTATGAGACTAAAAGCTCTCCTTTAGACCAGGAATAGTACAAGGATGTCCTCTTTTATCACTTAATTTAACATTGTGCTACAAGTTCTAACCAGTGTAATAGGCCAGGGGAAAACAGGCCTCCAGATTGGAGAAGAAGTAGAATTGTTTTTAACTCCCAGATAACATAATCATCTATACAAAAAATTGAAGGAGGCCGGGTG